TCTCTCCAAAGACTACTGTAGCCTTTTCTGTAGTATTTTAGGCCTGCAAAGAATATTCATATTCATAATATGAATTATGAACAGAGGTTTCTTTTATTTTTTAATATGGAACTGTTTCAAAATATAGTGTTGAATAAATGAATAACACAGAATTATTTGGAATTTAGAAATGTAATTTGGGATTGAATCTTATTCGGACATGTATAGACCACATCAAGTTTACTCCCTACCAGTGGTCAATTAAGCAAGGTATATCTTTAACTAACACCACGTGCATATTAAATATTCATTTACAGTTTTCAATTACAAATTGAACACACCACTAAAGAATCCTTGGTTGAATGTTTTTTTTTATGTGTATCTTTCATTGTGTTTGCTTATGGTCATGACAGTTACAGGAAGCAACACATTTGATAAATAATACATATTTTAATGAACTTATATATTCTCTGTCTTAAAAATCTAGTATATTATAATAAAGTAGTAATAAGTAGTAACCGGATTAGTAATGAACTAAATATGATTTGTATTTACTTTGCAGTTCCCCGCTGAATTTCAAATTATAAATGATTTGGAAAATGATGCTGTAGCCCCTATTGAAAACTGGCATAGACAAGTACTGATCTGCATTAATATCACGGTACAGAAATCAGCGAACCAAAAACGTATAATGCAGCACTGATTTGAATAATTCTTTTAGACTAAGAGAAATTTGATAAGAAGGAAAACGGTGAGTTAGCAAGGAATTAACATTAACCATTAAACCTAATATCTAATCATCCACGTTCCATTAAAGCTGTATTGTCCGATAAACTGAATGAAAAATTCTTCAAAATTAAATGTTTGATTTAACTTTCCCATTTTAATAATAAATGTCATGAACTTGAGACTATTTTAAAAATTGTTTTCTCTGAATTGTGGGCTGGTAATAACCAAACAATTCTAGAAACACTTCCAGTGTCTGTAATTCTTTATGAATTTTTTTACATTAACAAAGGGTGTATTAGGCCACGTAAAATAAAACAATTGGTTAGCATCCCCGCCCGACCGTCGGAAAAGCCCCCGACCTGAATTTATTTATTTTTTTTTTACACAAAACACTCAAAAACTCCACCTCCCGATTTATATAGGCCTATGCTTGTTTACCATCCGTCCGAACGCTAGCCGACTGGGCTTCTCCCTGCAGTTCCATTCCATCATCTTCTTATTTTGCTTTTGTTATTTTTATTTTTGATTTCACATCTAACAGCAATTACTGTACACTCGCCACTTAGGATGGAATGCTTTATAAACCTATTATCGATATATCATCAGTTCTGTAAACATATACAATGTTGCATGTTTTAAAACTTCATATATAGGGATTTCAATATGACTGTTATTCATATAGGCAAAGTTTATCTGCTATAGATGAATTACATGATTTCTTGTATCCAATTTTGGCCTCTGTTGTTTTCCTCTTCTTTGTTTTGCTAATTTTCCTTCCGACGCTGGTTTTTCATGTTCTACGAGGGAAAAAAAACAAAAAAAACCTCCCTCCCTACCATGAAATTTGATACCAAAAGGATGCTAACCAATTATTTTTTTTTACGTGGCCTTATATAAGAAATACCACTAAAATTGTTTTAAATTCATTTTCTTAACATTATGAATGTTTACTCATCCAAACATACAATTTAAGAAATTCAGAATTAATTTTTATTTTTCAAGGATTTCTGGGTTCCATCGGACTATACATTTTTAAGTTTAAATGAAATGTCATGAACATGGTGCAACAACGTTAAAGGCCGCTGTTAAGAATAGTAATGTCGATGCATGAGTGACAGCGAATGATGTCATAAAATCAGAAGTATCGGATTTGAAATCCATTGTAGTGGATTTAATGAATGTGGTTTCTACCTTAGAGCACACTGGATAGAGATACCGGTGGTGAATGTGGGAGGCCTTGTACCAGGGATGCAACCCTGACAGGTACCTAATGTTGATTATTAATGGAACCATTCCTCCTCTTGGCGTAGGTACAGGACACCCGAATATCGGCTGGGTAGATATGATCGCTCGGACTTCCGTAACCGAGATAGGACGCCCGAATATCCACGGCGTAGATATGAGCATGCCGACACACATTGCAGACAAAACATTCCATACCGCAGGGCATACACAGGTAGTCCCAAACGGGTTACATTTATCACCAAATATTCTAGTTCAGGAAACTAAAGTCAGCTGGAAATGTGGGTCAATATTCGGCTTATGCAAGTGGAAATACTAGTGATATGCAAAGACCCCTCAGTTGTCATCAGCAGGAAGGAAATTCAGTTACAGACGAATAAAGTGTTATCTTAATTACAATATATCACGCTTATATTGTCAAATTAAGATACAAAATTAAGAACCCAATAGTGCCAAAAAAGATATCATAAAATGCTACAAATACCGGAGCGGCTAGGGGATTCACCCCCACAACCCCAACCAGGGCCCTTCGCAGCCCCTGGCCCCCAGCGTATGGCTCGGGCCTTCAATCCCTTCGTTGCGCCACTGATTCTTTGTAGTTATTACAATTAATTACAATTTTTGCACCCCACTGCCCGATGGGAACCTCCCTGAATACATGAAACAGGGAATGAACTAATACATTTACTGCAAACGACTTGTGCACATGCCTCTTAAATGTAATAAAATCAAACAGAGTAGGCATTAAAGGGTTTTTTTTCCCCATGCGTGGAAGTACGACTACAAGACCGTACTTTTTTCTTTAAAGTTTCATCCATGTGTTTTCTGTTTATCCCTACATCAAAAACTATATTAAGCCACTGTTTCAAAAAGTGTATGTCGTTGGTTGTGGAGAATATTGCCATTGAAAAATAAGGTGGGTGGCATTTTGAATAGGGAATAACAATCACCAAAAAAAAAATGCTAAATGACTAGTCTTGTTCTTATGTGAATTTTCTCAGGTGTTCATCAGTCAATGTACCTTGAGTTTTATATGAAAAAAAAAAAGAAAAAAAAAAAATAATAATAGTAATAATAATAATAATAGTGTTATGTCCAAGTCCATTATTGCTATCATTGCCATTGTTGCTATATTATTGTCATCATTATTGCTATCGTTATTTCAAACACCTTTTAATACCGATATCGTTATTTTTATTGTTGAATTGATTTAATAAAAAAAAACACCATGATTTTTAATGAACGTTAGGCTAATGTCATGCATGCTACAGGATTTATTATGTAAATATTTACCGAATTATTAGAGTATTACTGTAGATGCTGTATACAAAACAATTATTAAAAAATTTTAGATTCTCATATATATATTATTTTTTTTTTGCATTTGAATTGTGATTTCGTTTTAAAAACATCACCCTTTTTTGTATGATTTAAAGTTCGAGAAAATAATATTATTATAATTTATCACAATCATAAACAATCATGCATTAATTAAAAATAATTGATATGATAATAGAATTATTCATAACTTGTAAATTGTCACTTACAATATTTGAAGACTAGTCAAACCACTGAATACACCTTGGTTTAGTTGAGTTATTCGGTTAGAACCCAAGTACCTTCAAAAAAAGAAAAAAATAAATAATATTATTATTAAGCAAATGTAAACTATAAATTAATAATGTTGCCAGTTGTAAACATGTTGCCTTTAATTGGCAATGTGTTTTAATCCTGTTTCACCTGATTTTTTTTTGGTAATAAAATCCACTCAATGCCTGAGAACAACATTTATTCTATGTAGAACATTAGTAGTACCATGTCTATAGTCAGTATAGTGAAAAGTGAAATTATGTTGGTAACAATATTATTACAACTAGGTATACTCCCAGTGAGCATAGAAGGTTGCACTTTGTGCTGGTTTGCCGTTGTATGTTATCCATTGATCAGAGGTAATAACGATCAGCGCCTTTGATCATTGATTTGGTTTGGAACTGGCGCTTTTACAAAAAATAAATAAATAAAAAATATTAATATAGTATCATGTCCAAGTCCATTATTGCTATCGTTACCGTTGTTGCTATCGTTAGTGTCATCATTATTGCTATCGTTATTACAATCACCTTTAATTAAGAATATCGTTATTATTATTATTGTTGAACTGATTTAATAAAAAAAAAAGACACCATGATTTTTAATCATCATTAAACATTATTAAATATTGTTTGTAACCGATAATTGAGCTGTAATCAGTATGTAACCGACAATATGATGCTCCTTTTACATGCATATAAATTCATTGCGATCAATATATTACGTGAAATAGGTATTGTGTGAACAGAATAAATGACGTGAAATTAATTATTTGTAAAGTTAAACATTTTCTGTATGGAATCAATCGTCATTACACCGATAATAGATATGATTTTCACAACCTTTTTTATTTAATACTCGTCATGTCCCACAACGGTACACCCATTAATTCACCTCGCAGTTTGATTTGGTATTTGCTAATAAATGTTCATCTGACTCTCCTTTTTCTATCCCGTATTCATGTGCCTCACCTCTTGCATGACTTTTTAAATATCACCCCATCTGACGTTATCTCTGCATCTAAAAATCTTAGTAACTCTAAATCTCCAGGTCCTGACAATCTTCGTAACTTTGTTATTAAGTTGTTCGTTTATTCGTGTGCTCCTTTCCAGGCTAAATGTTTTACTCTTTCTGTTAATACCGTTGTGCAGTCTAGTTTTTCCAACTTTCAGTTTGGTTTTAGTTTTCAACGATCTGCATCTGATTCTCTTAAATATTTTTCATCTGCTTTTTAAATACAGTGTCGCCAAACTTTGTACTTGATTACCTGAGCAGCTTTATAGCTCAGTCGGCTAATCTGGTGGTAGCCACTGTTTGTGCGCTGAATCGTGGAGATCTCTAGATCCCCCGATTCAATTCATATCGCTGCCTCTCCTTGTGTTTCAGCTAGAGGGCTGAAATACAAGTTACAATAGCGCACCGTCTTTCGGATGAGACGTTTAGCTGTTGGTCCCGTGTGCATTTATGGCCCGGGCATGTGCACGTTAAAGAACGCAGTACACTCTTCGGAAAAGAGTAGGGGATTATCTCCCGGTGTACTGTTCAATCACCACCAGAAGGACCCCACTGGAAATAAGTCTTCTAGACTTTCGTGG